GTATTTTAATTTTATTGAGGTCTTAGTATTAGAAAATGAGGTAATTGAGCTCCAAGCTGAAAAAGAAGAATTGTCTGACAAGTATGAAATAATCAACAGTAAACTAGTTGGGGTAAAAACTGGAAAAAAAGATTTATTAGAAGAACAGAAAAAACTTCAAACTATGTATATGAAGGCAGTTGAAGATACAAAAACTAAGGTGAATTCAGCTACAATAACTTGGTTACATTTCCTCTTGAACTTTAACCCAGCATATTGTTTTTAGTTCACAATAAAATTGACTTGTACTAGATAAGACACAGTGATACTATTTTCATTCTCTGTTCAGATGCTGTTGAAAAATAGGGACTCATGTTTTTATCTGTGTGGACATGCTTAGGCCAATCACATTCAGACTTCACACATACATCTTACGATACGTATTCACAATCGTTCGTTTCATGATCTTATTCAAGATGGCTGATTGGCGGACATTTTTATGCTTAAAATTCATTAAAATCAATCATTTCTTCAATTTCAATGAATGCTGATCCAGAGCCATATCTCCGACATGCCATGACCAATCATGTTCGTGGCAGCCATTTTAATGGTAAAAGTTCATCAAAATAAGACATTTCTACCATTGCAGAACTGGATCTCAGTCGTGTGTAGACAGATTTTGTTCATACTTGGTACAAAAAATCAGACATTGTGAGATCTGAATGCAAGTCATTTTGTTTTGGTTTAACAAATTTGGTTCCAGAACTATATCTTAGACATTCCATAACAAACATCATACATTATGTTGCACATATATTCATTTGACAATTCATTTAAAGATGGCCAAATAGCGGCTATTTTTAATGTTAACAATTACCAAAATTGAGCATTTCTGCTATTCCGGAACCGCATTTTTGTTCAAACTGTTCGTTTTTGAATTCAAAATGGCTGACAGGTGTTTTTTTTAACAAATGTTGTCTCAGAGCTATATCTTAGACATGTCACAACCATCCATGATCTTTCACTTGCAGCATGTGTAAGTTCAGATTTAGTGTGAAGCTAATACAAGATTGTGCAGTCTGAACAGAACAGTCTGACCAATCAGAAAGCAGCTTGCTTTTTCGATGTAACAAATTCTGCCATGTATATATTCTTTGACTCAACTGCAGAATCATTTATTTATAGATCAAATTCATTCTGTGTTTGAATAATTCAGAATCTCTGTTTCTAAAACCTGTTTCATGTCATGTCATTCACCATAAAATTCAAGGTCTTGTTTTCTATTCACAGCTTTTTGTCATAATCAGTGAAAATATGGCTGTGTTTCATCTCTGTGCAGACAAATTGTTTTTTTCTTACTTCAACTCAAGCTAATAAAAATAATGAAAAATTATTTCTATCACATTATACATTATGGTACGAATACAAAAGATCAAAAGATAACGTCTAAATGTTTGCGCTATTTACATCAATTCAATTACATCAACAAATTTAAGGTAGCAGACTATTATTTGCATACTTGTTTTCATCTTCTAATTTTGACCAAACGACTACAAATAGACCCAGGAAAGTATATATTTTTGGAATTGCCAGACTTCAAGCTTTTCAAAGGTGTGTTTGCCATGCTCGTATCTGCATTCTACGGTGCGTTACTTAATCAAAAGTGAAAAACTAATTTTTT